TAGGGTGAGCAAAATCCGAATCGGTGAAATATCTCCAAAATTTTTGAGAAAAATGATTCAGCTACTGGTTCTAAAATTACTCCACTTCCCTCTATATACATATATATATATATGTGTACATACACATACACAGTTTAAACATACATATTTAAAAAAATTTTATAAACGTGACATTAATTTAAGTAAATATAAGAATAATAAGAACAATCATAATATGTGCAATATATATTTCTAACGATATTCTTCTTGCAGAAATGTATAGATATTTTAATTGAAAAAGAGTATTTGGAGCGCACAGAAGGTCAAAAGGACACTTATAGCTATTTGGCATGATCAGGAGAACGATGCAGCAACAAACACAAAATAAAAACAACGTATACACTTACTTCACTCACTCACGTTGATATATATGTATCAGACTATTTATTTAAGGTCTCGAGTGTAATTCCCTATTTTTATTCTGTACATGAATACCTTTGTACCATATTGTCATTCTGGTCGCATTTAGAATTTGGCTTTTTATATATCTTTTAAAAGATATATGGATATAACATAAAAAAAGATGTTAATAAAATTATTTCGTAATTATATTAGCCAGTGCTAGGTGTATTACTGTCTGTGCTGTTTTTCAAAATGAGGCATTTTGCTCCATTATAGTATCACAAATATCATTTAAGATCTTAGATATTTTATAGTGAATATATTATATAAAATTATTTTTAAAAAAGTATATAAAATTATATAAAATTATTTTAAAAAAGTATATATATATATTTTTATTGCATTATTAATATTATCATACTTTCTGATCTTGTGAAAATATTAAGTATTGTAAATGTATGAAGGAAATAAAGGATGTGTTATGTCCACTATTATATATTATAGTATAAAAGATCATTATAAAAAAATTGTAATTGGTTATACAAAAGAAATCAGTTTTACACAGAATAAGCTATATTATATGTATAATAAAAGAATGTACAAAATTTTTGCGAGCACATAGATAGTAATGCATTTTAGCAAAAGTTCAACTCTTATAGTAGACATAAGCCAGAAAGTTTTATAACATTATATGTAAAATTCTATCATAATAATAGCAATTTAAATGTCTGTGCGATAGTATGAATTCTGCGTGTCTATATATATATATATATACATATATAATTTGTTCTATACACACAAAATCTTACAGATAACATCCTCAATTGTCTTTTGATCGAAACAGGATTGGAAGATTAACATGCCGATTAACTTAATGTTGATTAATTAATCGAGTGTTTCCATAAGTTTGTATAATTTTTATTGCTGAAAAGATTTGAGAGAAACGCTTGATGTTGATACAATATGGAAATGGTAAGAATATTTATGGTGTGTAATAGAACTTACAGAAAAAAAATATATACATAAATATGAATAATAAACGTAAGTTACAAGTGGTGCTTATGTGAATCTTAACTTTAGTGCTCTCAATAACACAGTCAGCAAGAGTAATAGATCCTGTAATTATAAGCGTTCATAATCGTTACGATCATCTCGAAATTGAGTTTTAAAACTCAATGTGTATAGAAATAAACGAGAGGGAGGGAGAGAGAGAGAGAGAGAGAGAGAGAGAGAGAGAGAGAGAGTGCGTGCGTGAGTGAGTGAGCGTGTTTAGAATTTTTAAGTATATGTATCATGATTCTAGGTACTCGGATATTATGACATTTTTCATAGCATATTATCATTGATAAAAATTTGAAGAGGGAGTAGAATAAACTGAGAATTACTTATTGTAATTAAATTTAATCAAATATTGTATTAACATATATACTTGCCTACAGGGTGAGTAGCAACGTCTACATATTTAGCTATACAGAAACATTAACTTAGTGTATTTTATTAAAGTGTAACTATGAATTTCTTTTTCAAATTATGAAAGCATTAACGTAATGTTATTCGAGCTATAGGTTGTGCAGAGGGATACTGACTACATCATATGGTCTTTATCCATATACATGTGATATTTGCTATTATTTAATATTTCTATGTAAAAGAAGCAATTTCAACGAATTGTTTACGAAAATAAGTTTGTTTGCTTTTTGTAAGTTTAGACCTTTATTATAATATATGCAATATTTAGATCAAAGATTTACAATCCTTTATTCACAAAAGGAATACTAACATTTATTTGTATCGCTCAGTGAAATATACTATTGATAATTTTCATGAGATATATATTTTTTAAATTCGCACAACTTATTGCATGACATCTTTGGATGCGTCATGATTATTATAAGAACAAATAATATTAGATATTTATTAGATATTTATTAGATATTTTTGGGAGTACAAATTAGTTCGGTCCGTTTTTTTGTGTTCAAAAATGCATTTATTTCAAAACAAAATGTATGAACAGATTAATTAAAGTATTGTCCATCGCTGGCTATTACTTTTTCCCATCTCTCAGGCAATTTTCGAATTCCATCTTGAAAAGATGACTCGTCTTTGAGGCGATTCAATTTTGAAGCCAATTTTCGATTTCTGCGAAAGAAGTGAACCGGTGACTTGCCAAATCGTGCTGCATCCTTTGGAACAACCAGTAATCAGAAGGAGCAATGTCCGGAGAATACGGCGGGTGCGGTAAAACATACCATTTGAGCGTTTCCAAATATTTTTTTACGATTTTTGTGACATGAGGCCGAGCGTTGTCATGAAGAAAAATAACTTTATCATGTTTTTGCTCGTATTATGGCCGTTTTTCTCGCAATGCATGGCTCAAACAAATCAATTGTAGCCGATACCGATCGCCCGAAATGGAATCGCCAGGTTTCAGCAGCTCATAGTAAACAACACCCTCTTGGTCCCACCAGATACAGAGCATGATCTTCGAACCATAAATGTTCGGCTTTGGTGTTGATGTTGAGGTCGATGGCAACGATTGACCGGGCTTAGCGTAGTATTTTTTTTTCTTGGGGTTGTCGTAGAATATCCACTTCTCACCTCCAGTCACAACCCGATGCAAAAAATCTGTTCTTTGTTGCTTTGAATCAGCTGTTTTGAATTCGCAAATGAAAAATCGCCTTTTAACGTCTCTTGGTTTCAGTTCATAAGGCACCCACTTTCCTTGTTTTTGAATTATTCCCATGGCTCTCAATCGTGCAGAAACGGCTTGTTGAGTTACTCCCAATGATTCTGCAAGCTCCTCTTGCGTTTGACTCTGATCTTCTTCGAGTAATGCCTCTAATTCTTTGTCTTCGAATTTTTTTGGTTTGTCTTCAACGCTGAAATCTCCATCCTTGAAACGTCGAAACCATTCCCTACATGATTTATCAGTTGGAGCAGTGTCACCATAAACTTCGACAAGCATTCGATGGCTTCAGCTGCATTTTTCTTCCAATTAAAGCAGAAAATTAGAATCTCCTGCAAATGCTGCTTGGTTAACAAAATTCGACATTTCAAACACAGTAAAAATCAAAGTTTTTGTATGAAACTCAAAGCGATGTGAACTGAATATTATTAGCAGATGTCTACTCTCTCTGAAAACGCCAAAATCAGCTGTCATTATGAACCATCACAACAGCCGGAACCATCTTTTAGAAAATGGACCGAACTAATTTGTATATCCCGCATTGATACATGGCAAAATCTGATGCTTCAAATTTTTGTATATTCTGAGTTTGTTATTGTCAGTTATTATTTCTTGCACTATAACAAAAGTAACAAATAAATTGTAACGAGACATTTGAAACTGTCAAAGTATAAAACGACTTTACAACTTACTGAAAAAAAAAATTTTTTTAATCCAGTGCTAACTTCATCTGCACCCAACATTACGATCGAATTAGTTCTGAATAACTCATTTTCCAGACAATATGCATATATATTTAAAAATGAGACATAAGACGTCTAGACGTTTGTAACTTCGAAACATTTGATTGACCAATTAGAAGAAAGAATTTACGAATTCATCAATGAAAGGTTGCAATCCACTTAACGCTACAAATGCTTTAAAGTTTTTAATTAACCAATCGAAAGAAAAATTTTATTGACCAATGAAAGAATACTTTGAAGTATTCGTATTCGTAGCATCAAGTGGACCGTAACCAAAGAATGCTTCAAAGCACTTGTAGCATCACGTTGATTATATATATCCTAAATTGTCAAATTCACAAAACTAAAAGATTACAAAATCCCTACTATGCTGAATTTAAGTCCAGTATAATAAAATAAACAAATATATTATTTTAAGAAATTATAAGAAAAGATTTTAACGAAAGTATATTTATATATACAATTAACATGGATGGGCGAACTACAATTACAACCAAGGTAAAATAATTTACATATATAACTGCATTTTCTTAAAAATTTTTTATTAAATTATTCAAAAGAGCTATATATAGAGTTCTAAAAAATGTAACAAATTGGAAAGCATTTTTATAATAAGTAAATAAAAATACTAAATAATAAAAATCTATCGTAGGTATTTTATGTACTAACATGGATATTTGTTGCAAGCTACTATTTTGTATGGGGTAGTAATGAGCCAAGCATATCTGTCGCACCTATTGATGAATCTGGTTGGAGCACAGATGAAATTTTTGCAAATGAATTTCGTTAAAAAAACAATAGAATGAGAAAGGATGATATAAAGGCATTCAATACTGCAGTTTCTTACAATTGGATACTACTTTAAATTTATATAATAACTTTATTCATTTCCCATCTCTAATCATGAGTTAGCAAGAACAGAGAGTAATTTTATACTCAACTAAAGATCCTTGCACGAAATTTAATGTATAAATAAATATATCTTTGTAGTCCTCAATCATAAATATACAATATACTACATATCAACATCTGTTTTTTTACGTACGTTATTTTTATTCAGAGACTATAATATAAACTCTGTGTACGTGTGTATGCGCGCGTAAACATGCACGCACGCATACAAAAACTAATGATTTTATTAACAATTTGTTCACATATTTATGTACATACATAATATACATGTGTGTGTGTGTGTGTGTGTGTGTGTGTGTGTGTGTGTGTGTGATTACACATATATATATAAAATTCTATTATTCATCTTTGTTATTAATTGAGGTATCACTTTCATGGACAGAATTTTTTTCATTCTCGCTATTTTTTTGATTATTTTGAAGCTGCGCTTGCCACATTGCATGATAAGTAGTACTATGTGAAATCAGTTCTTCGTGTTTGCCTCTTTCAATGATTTCACCATCTTTTAAGACGAGAATTTCATCCGCATGAATTATTGTGGATAATCTATGAGCTACAATGATAGTAGTTCGTCCAGCGCATACTCTGTTTAATGCTGCTTGTATATTACGCTCCGCCTGCGTATCCAAAGCGCTTGTAGCTTCATCAAGTAATACTATCTTTGGCGCTTTTAATATTGTGCGTGCAATTGCGACACGTTGTTTCTCACCACCGCTTAGCCGAAGACCTCTTTCGCCAACCTAAAAAAATACTCACTTAAGAAAATAAGTAAACATACAATAATAAAAGAATTAATACAATTTTATTTTACGTAATTTTATTGAACTGTAAACATAGATTCGTTTTTTTTATAGATAGTTGCATATCTATAAACTTATTTACACTTGAACCATCAAAATTTATGAGATAAGAAAGGCAAAAAAAGATTTTTTTAGTGAAATTTAAAAATTATACTAAAAAAAATGGAATTCAGACAAGTCAATAGTTTTAACAAACCTGTGTTTCGTAACCGTTTGGAAATGTAAGAATCCTCTCATGGATATCTGCATATTTTGCAGCAGCAATTATATCTGCTTCTGGAGCATCAATACGACCATATTGAATATTATATCTTATAGTATTATTAAATAAAACTGTGTCTTGTGGAACAACGCCTATAAATTGTGAAAATAAATTATGAGATATTCATCAAAAGTTTAACTTAATAGATAGATAATGATAAAAAATTCTTGTGATGTAAAATTACCTATGTTACTTCTGAGAGACTCCTGTTTAACAGTCTTTACATTCTGTCCATCAATTAAAACCGCGCCTTGTTCTACATCATAAAAACGAAATAGTAATCGTATTATGGTACTCTTTCCAGCACCAGAGGGACCAACTAGCGCCATTGTTTTTCCCGGAGGTACAATAAAGCTGATATTTCTAAGCACGAGTTTCTCAGAACTATAGCCAAACGATACATTTGAGAATTCCACTTGTCCACGTTTGACATCCAATAATTTAGCTCCTGGTGCATCTATTATCTCTTGCTCTTCCCGAAGTAATTCAAACATATTTTCCATATCAACGAAATTTTTTTGAATGGCTCTTGACAGAAAGAATTATTCAAATAAATAAAGAGAATAATAAAATTATTTAAGATGATAGCTTATAAAACGTGGTCAATTAATAATATATATAAATCAATTCTTTGCAACAATACGTTATATAAATATGTCCATTTTTTAATATATATTACCTGTAATATGTACCAAACCAATTTAACGGTACATAAAGTTGTACTATATAACTAGCGAACAAGACATAGTCGCCAATTGTTAAATCTTGATGGAAGACAACCTGCAAGAAAATCAATTATCATTGTAAATATCTCGTTACTACACAAATTCTTATGTTTACATAATAATTGTAATTTTTATACAAGTACTAGCCATATGTAAACATAATAACGATCCAAGTAATAATCCACCAGAGACAATTATATTTTGCAAAATATTTAAGATATTCAACGTAATCATTGATTTCCATTCTTGTATTTGAAAATCTAAAATTGCTTTTCTATAGCTTTCCACTTCGTATGTTTCAGCACCATAATATTTCACTGTTTCAAAATTCAATAAGCTATCAACGCTGCGTGCTTTCTGTGCATTGTCAGCCAAATTCATACGTCTTTGGAATTTTGTACGCCATTCCGTAACCACAATTGTGGCAGCTAAATTAACAGATAAGATATTAACAAAGGAATGATTTAAATTAGTATTTCATGATCCACTTATTGCGACAGTGACTATATTTATACGGCACCTTCAATCAGGTTTAATAACATCCGTAGTTATAAAACTGATCAATCACAATCATTCCATTCTTCATAGGAATAGCTGTGATTGGTCAGTTTCATAATTATAGATGTTATTAAACCTAATTAAGGGCCATAGTTCTGTTGCAAATGTAAACATAGCTTAATTAGCATAAGATTTTTAATTTCAATGAGCATTGTTATTATTATGTATCAATATCTATTATTATTATTATTATTGTGGTTGTTATTAATATTATTATTATTACTATTAATGCTTACCAATATAAAGAACCATAGTTACGAAAACGATGAGGCCAAACCATTTATTAAATGCACTGATGAAAAACAAAACGGCTACAATAATATCAATAATAGTTGGGAGAATTGAAAAAAGAATATAATTGAGCAAATTATTGATTGAGTCTGTGCCACGATCCATAATTCTTAAAACTTCACCAGTTTTCCTTCCAAGATGCCAGCGCAAGCTCAATCCATGTAAATGTCTAAAGAAAATATATTTAAAATTATAAATATATTATAATATTATAAGTTTTAATTATAATTATAAATATGTTATATTTTGTATGTTATAGCATTTATAGTTATTAACTATAAATATAAATTTTCTCTATATAATCAGGATTCATAATTGGGAGTAACGCGTTTTTGTAACGTCATTACCGTTAGATATTGCTTTTCGGTAACGATTGTAATTTTTTCTGCTTGTAACAGTAACGGTAACATCATTATATTTTTACAATAATATAATTATAACGAATTCAACTGTTATTTTTATCATTACTTTTATCTTATATCGCTATTAACTTGTGTATCTATTCAACAAGTTGCATTATTTTTTTATGGATAGGAATATTTCATTCAAATATAAACTTAAAATTGAGATATACTTTCCTATATCTTAAACTGCATTTCGATCAATACTAAAAATCTGTAATATATGTATATGTAACGTGAACGATAAATTATCTCTGTTGAACTAGCATCCTCTCCCACAAAAAAATCAAAATGATACTTTCGTCAGAATTAAATGTTTTTTATGTATTAATTATGTGTTCTGATCTAAATTTTTGTACTTAAATACTTTAGTAGAAAATTATAATTGAAAGTAGGGATCCTGACTAACGTCCCTAACACATCAAGTTAGTACCTCCTCAAATCATTTAGCAGAAAATCGTAATTGAAAGTAAGATGCTGGCTTAACAAATTAACATTCCTTCATTAAATTATATATAAATAAAGTTAGTACAGTATAATTAAGTGCTTTTTACATGCTTTCGAGCACTCAAAAAAATTAATATATATAGTTTAAAAGATATATACGCCAATTTGATATATCTTTTTGCGCTCCGTATCGCGCACGCCGTGAGCTTTTAAACGCCATGGCTGCGTTTAGCAGAGAAAACAGCTTTGTAATTATTGTAAAATTCTTCAATAAGATTGGTTTTTGTTTTTGGTTCCTTATGGATCTAAATGTATAAATCAATTATATTGAAGAATTTTACAACAGTTGCAAAGCTGCTTTCTCTGCTGAACACAGACATGGAAGGTCCTGTTGACACACAGTGCGATAGCACACATCCACTCACATCGGTCAATGCTTAGTAATCTTTCACTGCTTTAACAATGAGAATATTTTATTTTAAATTGGACAATTAGCGATGGTGAAAAATTAACTTAAAAAGTTAATAAATTAAAGTTTAAAAATAACTGTTTAAAAATAAGTTAAATAATAATTAAGTTAAAACTTATTAATTAGTTACTAACCAACCTTGACAAAAAATAACTTATGTTTACAAAGTAATATTCTCAATCCTGTGTTTAATATGTATTATATAAATATAATATAATCATAGTCTTTTTTTCTCAACACAATTTTAATGCTTAAGAAACAAACTTTAATTTCAATTCACCTGAATAATTCTAACTCCACTTCACGAGTAGTATATTGTTGAATACGAATCCACAGAAAGGACCTTAAATTATTCAACAAACCCATACTTCCAGTACCACCACCTTGTAGAAATTTAAATGTTACATATATCAATACTATATCCCACCTGCAAGAAATTGTAATTATAGAAATAATATTTTTATAAGTTAATAAAAGTGCATAATAAAAAGCTCAGTTATGTTACCTAAATTCCACAGGAACAATTGCAACACTGTCTACAATTTTTTTATTATAAATTGGTACATAAAGATTTATCAGACGTCCAAATAGTAGCAATACGAAGCAAAATATTACTCTTAACTGAAGTAAATAATCTGACTTTGGCCATAAAAACGGCGCTAAAATTTTAATTTTGTACCATAAATTTCTCCATGTAGAAGTATTATCTGATCTCTAAAAAATATTGTTGTATTGAATATTCTCAATCGTATGCTACAGCATAATTATTTGTATTACTTACTCTTTGTTGATAATATCGTGATCGTATGACTGTATCATCATTAAGCACACGATAATCAGAATCAAAATTGTTGGCAATGCCAGGCGCTCGTAAACCAAGAGCAAAAATCAACAAGTTACTAACATATCGCAAAATAAATAGAGCCATTTCAATTTGATCTGTTAAGCTGTAAAAAAATCAAAATTAAGATTAATTAATTTTGGAACAAATGGAACAAAGATTGATTTTTAAAGATATATTGTCCTTTTAGAATTTCTTTGCTTTTAATATTGACTTACGAATTCAAATGGAACCACCATTCAAGCTTTCCAATATTAATCAAAACAAGATTTTCAGCAACAAATGCTAATGTCCAAAAACCTAGTAACACTAATCCATGTCCATGTGGTGGCACACTTGGCAACAATTTATGTCTTTCAACTTTCAATATATAAATTGAGTATGGATAAACAATTACTGTCAATACTGTTGTTAATATCTATAAAAAACATTTATAAATATAAATACTATAAATTAATTCAAATTGATCAATGTAAGTTATAGTAGTTATTGATACAAATAATAATTACCAAATATTAGTTTGCAGTAGCAATATGAATTGTTATTGCAAACATATTTGATAATTACTATTTGTATTTTGAAGTCAACAATTGCTGCAGCTCACATTGGCAATTTAAGTTGATTTGTAATTTATTTGTTGAGCAAGTAAATATATATTTGTTATATATAATTTATGCTACTGATAAACTATAAAACAAATTGTTTGCTTTCTTATTGTTTGGAGTAAAAGCACAAACATACAAAATAATTCTCTTTGGGAATTAAAAAAACTTTACAAATAAATATCATTGTTTTATAATGGATAAAAGTTAGAAAAATAAAAAGTTTAAGTTATCCTATACAGTGTATACACAGTAAATAAAAACTGTAACTTCAGACTCATATTATATATATATAATTCTCACCATATATCCGTAGACTTTTCCATCATCCAAGACTGTAGCTTGTAAAATTATTCTGATTATACTTAAAATGGGAACAAGATATAATACAAACTTTTGTAATTTATATAGTTTGCTTCTTGGTAATGTATTCTCATCAGTTTCAGTTCCATATTTGCGATATATCCAAAGTTGGATCGATCCAAATATAATTAAATATAAAAAAATTATACTAGTACAGATTGTATGCATGAAACATTTAGACACGCCATGGTCTATCCAGATATTGTCAAAAGTTATATTTGGTGGACAATATCTCATTGTAGTCATATTGCTATCTGTGTTATTATCAGTCTTTAATATTGTTGTATCACTCAATATCTCTTCTGATAATTGTTCAATTTATCATACATAATCACAAAAATGAATAAAAAATATACCAATCGACAGAGTTTTTCATAAGACGAAAGAATATGGCAGAAATAAGTGTTCTGCTCCAAGAATCAAGATATTAATTTCTTAAAATTAACGATTATTCAGGTTAAGAAAATCAGTCACAGCCACACAATAATGATTTCTTCAATGTTGTCAAGTGATTTTGAAAATTAAAAAAGTGAGCAGATTTGTTAGAATATTCGTAACTTTCATAAATTGCTTTTCATTTACCGATTCTTAGATAAATCTTATTTGTGACGTCATAACTCAATTGAATGCGCGTTCTTTCTCATTCCTTCTATATTCTAACAAATAAGATTCAACCGAACTTTTACCTACAATCTACACAAGATCGAAATCGTGTGCTTTAGCGAATTTCGTAAACTCACTCTAAAAGTAAGGTTATGAATCTATATAATCTATGTTATCAATGTTATCAATGATAACTTTTTATCAAAGTAAACAAGTAGTGACATCATTAATTTGAGTATGAACTACTCAGCTCACTTCAGACCCAATTTTTGTATGTAAATGGAAAGCAACTATAATTTAATTGGTCCATAATGAATATTCTCATTTTTGTAATTTTTATCACCTTATTTCAAGATACACAATCGATTCTCTGATTGGCTCAATAATCAAATTGGCTATTGCAATTGACTATTGGCCCTCAAGTTGTTTTATCTATCAGCTATATACAATATCTGCAGCTATCTTCTTCCATCATGATTTCACCATAGAATAAATCTATAAAATCAACGTATGCGCACTGTGCAGCTCGCTACGTTATATTGACATAACAAGTTTGTAACCTCAATAGTGGTGAACTTTGGTGAACTTTTATGATTAATTTCTCACAGAGCAGACGTTTTTTTTTTTATCAGATTTGTTCGCGTTGTGGAAACTTCAAATGAGTTTCATTTCATCAAATCATCAATTTCATTTGAATCAAGAAAAGGTAAATTAAATAATTACCCATGAAACATGTCTGATGATATACTAGCAAAGGAAAAAGAACTTCATAGATTGAATCATAATCTCCATCTAAAAGCACATGAGGTAATGAAGACTGTTGATTCAATCAAATATGTTCATGCCGGCGAAAATTTATTTAGCGATGTAAATTCATTGCTTCCAAAATTTGTGGTGAATGATGCAAAAATCATATACTCAAAAGATGTAACACCAAAGATAAATAAACAGTTAAAGACAGTTAAAGTTTCTGACATTCCATCAGTAGAATGTATCAATGACAATGAGATTCTGAAAAAGGATAATAACATGGAAAATAAAGCTGTTATTATTTTGCTCAAAAGCAAAATAGATATGTTGTATAAAAAATTAGAAGTAATGCAACTAGAATATAATAATAAGGTAATATCTTTTCTCGTTTTACTGTTTAACAGATCACTATTATTTTATTGCTTGATATTTGCACCAGTTATACATAAATAAAGAGCGTTTGAAAAAATTAATTAAAATTAATTACTTTGCGACAAACATTTCTTGATTATGCGCAATCACAAGCTAGTGGCACACAATGCTCGTTTGTTTGCTGGATTATTAGATGGAGGCTGCGTTCGTTTTGCTACTCGGTGCTTGTGAGCATCAATTGTTCTTGTTTAATATTTAATAAACAACAAAGATGAAACGACGCTTAAAGCGTTATGAGCGCCAAAGCGAACACAATCGGATTATAATCTTGTCACCGTACTGGCTGCGATACTGCAGCCAATACGGTGGCAAGATTTTAATCTAGCCTCTAAGGACTACTTTAAGTTCGTCGTAATCGGCCGATTAGTCCATTGAAATTGACCAATCATATCTACAATCATATCTACAATCATTTCAAACGAAATGATAAATGTGAATTTTAATAAACTAATCGGCGAATTTTTAAGTGGCTCTAAGAAACAAAAAAATTTAATTAAGGTCTTTTTAACTTTTTTATTTTATAAAATAATTTTATTTACGTATAGTGCGATTATTATAAAGAATTAGAAGTGGAAAAGAAGAAACTCGATGACGTCCAAGTTAAATTATGCAATCAAATAGAAACGTTAAACGATACGATTACAAAGTTGGAACGTGTAAATTCAGATATACTGTCAGACTCTCAATCTTTAAGTAAAGAAAATATTATTTTGAAGAAGGTAAATTTATATTCTTTTTATTACACACGTGTGCATACACACACACATACACACACACACACACATATATTATGTACCTACATATAAAATTACACTAGCTTATTAAAGATATTTTTTTTAGGACTTAGAAAATCTTAGAAAAGAAATACGAATATTAAATCAACAGTCAACCAATCTTGATGTGAGATTAAATAAATCTCTAGATAACAACGAGAAACTTCGAAATGAATTAAAATGTAGCCACATAAAAGAGAAGGTATAATGAAGTAATTTGAAGTATATTGAAATCAATAATTATTTAATACAGGTGTTACTATAAAATTTGATAAAAATGTACTCATTCGGTATATACCGATCACCCAAGTGTATAAGTATTTCAGCCTATTATTGACAGCCCTGTTAGTAATGTTAAACAAAGATAAAATGATTCACTGTGTTAGACTAGAATCAGACTATGCATTGAAGATTGAGATTAAAAATTAAAGATTGAAATTTCATCAATGAAGACAAAGAAATTTTGGCTCCTTTTATTCTGATTGGTCAAATATCAATCTTTTAATCTTCAATCTCATTCTTCAATGCATAGACTGATTTCGGCCTTACACTGTGTCATCTTTTTTGCTGGATAACATTATATTTTTATCAAATTTTACCATTATATCTGTATTCCAAATAAATGTCTTTAAGGGGATCCTAAAGATGATTAGTCATACTGTAAATAACACACAAACGATTTATGTGTCATTAGGTGCGGTCCATTTGATATAAATGCTTCGAAACTTTTGATTGACCAATTAGAAGAAAGAATTTTATTAACTGACCAATCAAAAGATGCTTCGAAGCATTTGTAACATCAAGTAGATACCATAGCCATTGACACATCATTACTACTACATCGGGTTTTATTTATTTATACACTGTAACAATTGCTCACTGCCAATCACAGCTACTTCTGCTCTGCGTAGAGAATTTTTTTTTCTAGCGCTGTGATTAGCTTGTGTGCAAGTGGCTCGTGTGCAATTGATATCTTACTACATCAATCTTATTACATCAATATCTCACGCACATATACACATACATTTTCGTGTAACAGTAATGTTTTAATTAGACGTCTAAGGGTATGGTCAACGTGATACTGCAAACGCTTTGGAGCGTTTTTTAACTGGTCAATTTGTAAAATTCTTTCTTCTAATTGGTCCATCAAATTCTTCAAAGCATTTGTAGCGAGACTTTGACACAGCCTAAATCCAATTTTAAGAATTCCATATTGTTTCTCAAATTAGTCTGTGAATCACAATTTCATAAATACAGATCGATTGCACAGCTTTTATATGAAGCAAATGTTGTTACGTGATAGCATTTTACTTTAGAGCGTTATATTGGATTATGAAATGGAAAAGATTCAATTTTGAAATTTTTTGTTCTCAGCATAGACTCTACCTCACAGATACAGTGTTAATGTATACTTTAATCCTGAAAAAAGATTTTCGAATCACTAAAAGAAGAAAAAGTAATTGTTATATAAAAATTATATACTTTAGTCAATAATACAGATTTTAGGATCCCTTTAAACTTGTACAATTTAAATCTGTGACACATTTCATCCACTTTGTAGGAATTGTTAAAACAAATTAGAAAAGTGCAAGAAGATAAGGAGTTAGCCATAAAAAATTTGGAAGAGCAGCGATGGAAATTGAATCAAGCATTTAGAAAACAAACATTACTCGTAGATAATTTGAAAAAACAAAACGTATGTATTGTATATTATATCATTAATTTCTTCTATTTATATAGAGGGAAATGTGGGATAAGGCGAATCTCAGAGTAAAATGGTCCATTTATTAAATCTTATATAACTCTTCATTTGCTGAATAAACAAAATTAGTTTTCTTTTTGATGTTTTTTAATTATTAAAAAGTTACGTCAATAAAACTGTCATGAATTATTTATAAAGAAATATCGAATTCTTGCAAATAGATTTCATGATCTAATTTCTTAGTGTTACATTTTGAATAGCTAAATTGCATACTTAATATTAAAATTTTTTTTTTAATTTCATGTTTCTGATTATTTGGAAATAATATTTCATTAGTCACATTTAAAAAATAATTTTTATACGGATAAAAAAAAATAAAAATATTAACGTTAACGTTAAAATTAAATATTATCATGTAAAAAGAATTAATTTTATATATTTTTTCTACTTATATATTTGTTCTAATTTGAGAAATATTTACCTACTTCTCTTCTTTTTTAACAATTTCTTATTTTTTCTCATTCATTTCTCTAGTTGCTCAGAATGTCTAGAAATTTATACACTTGTACTCAATAAAATTAAAGACACTTGTTCTACCCTATAAAAATAAACAATCAAGCTTTATTTGTTAATAAAATATCTCGCGAAAGTTAAAATTAATAAAAAAATTAATCGTTGTTTGATTATTGCGCCCACACGCAAATATATTAATACTAAATTAATTTTTCTTTTTACTAAAAAATATTTAATAAATGATAAATAGTTTTGATTTAGAGTTAATTAGTTAAATTATTTCCTGGTCTTCATATTCCCTCAGTTTATTACTTAGATTTGATTCATTACTCCATTGGATAGTCCATTTTATTTTATTCCCACCTATGGATAAAACGAATCAAATTAAATTTTATAAAAATCTTAATAATAATAGAAACTTTTACAAGATTTGAAAATTTAACATTATGATCTTGTAATGAACATTTTAATGTTTTTTCATGTTAAATTTCATTAATTTTTTTATTAATAAAAAATGTATAGCTATTTCTACTTAAGAGGTCCGTCTTATCCCTTCTTCCTTTATTACATAAATTAAGACTTTGAGAAATTATTAGAATAGAAATCTTAGAATATTTGATGTATCTTAAGGAAATGCTGGAGCGATTGCAGAACCTTGATTGAAAATAAAACATGAACTATATATTACGTTATCAAACAGCGACATAAGGCGTAATCAACAAAATAAAGATATTGTTCCAAATATTTTAGCCTTAAATTTATTTAAGATTAATAAAATTTAGAAATATATAAATGAATAAAACATATTTATAATTGTTCAAAATTAATAGAAATATCATTTACGTACTGCGATCTAAATTTGTCATATTTAAAAGGAATTGTTTATTCATCTATTTTTAAAATGTTCCACAATGTATTCTCTTAATAGATATTTTTGAAATAAATACTGTAGACTGAAAATTTGTTGTTTATTAATATTATAAATAACCTTACTCTTTTTGCTGCGGTTAAAATTCTTTTAACAAAATGTAAAAAAGTTATTTGAATTTATTTGAAACATATCTCTTTAGTTCTCCATATCATTGGTGATTATCGATATCGGTGCTCATACACCCTAGCGGCGATTTTAAGCATTAATCGGCACTGCGCGAGAAAGCGTACTGCAGTGTCGCGTGTCTGGTCACCCATCGCTGCTGGTCGCCGCATCGTTATGTCGTGCGCAGGTCATACGAGTGCTCATTAGAGGTTTTGTGTTGTTTTTTTTTTTGCTAGTGTAGTTTCGTGGTCGAAGAGTACAAAGTAAATCTTGGAGCGAAGTCGAGGCACAGCGTGACCTCGCGTGTGATCACGCGTCGCGTAAACCGTTGGAAATGTTAAGACGTACGTTGATATACGCTTCCGACGATTTCGGCTGGGGTCACTGAAGAGTGGTATTCGCGTGAGCAATGGCGCGAGCGCCTCGACGCGTCGTAGGAACGACGTGTGTACGGTGTAGATGATACATCGGAGTCCAATCCGCGTGGTATGTTGTTTACGTTGCGCGCGAAGATCTATCGTTCGCGTTACGACGGCGCAATATACAGCTCGAAGGATCTTGAGCGCGAGCCTCGTCGTGAGCCGCCATGAGACGCATTAGCGGTAAGCCATCGTCACAATTGCTGCCAAATGTTACGTTCTCGCATTCAGTTCTCGGTTCTCTTTGACCTTTTTCGCCGAGCGATATTCGCCTTCTCCTTGTTCTTGTTGGAAATGATTGTTCTCGATTTTCGCGTCTTCGTATCGAGATCGATTATGTTACATTAGTTGGTCATATCTTTACATATGCTTTGTGCATGTGTGAATGTGTACGTACGTGGCGCATTGCATGTGTGTACGCTGGCTGTTATGTACTGTTATGTTTCTATAATCTTATGTCGAAGCGAAATACTCTTTGTTATTTGAGTGACTGTATAATATCATATTAATTTAGATACTCTTTTGTTAGTAGGTAAATATAATAATTTAAATGTAATAATTTAAGAATTTCTTTTTTATTAAAGATAATGTTTGTTGATATCTCAAATAGAATCGACATTATTATAAGAATGAACTAAAAATTTTGCAGAGAATTTTATATTTTAATTTTCGAAATGAAAAGTTTAAAGGTAATTAAATACAATTTATTTATTTTTGAGAATGTATCTTAGTACTCAAAATTTATTAGCAAAGAATATTAAAAAATTTACAATTATATATTTTTAAATACTATTTTATGTAGATGTACTACAAAAATAATAATGTTAAAAGATAATGCCAAATAAATTATAATTAATTATATTAGTTAATTATATTAGTTAAATCTTCTTATTAGTATATTTTAATTTATATTTATATTTATATAAAGTTTTCTTATTTTATTTGGATATACAGGATTTGGAATCAGACTACGCATTGAAAATTGAGATTGAAGATTGAAAGATTAAAATTTGTGACCAATCAAAACGATAGGAGTTAAAATTTCTTTGTCTTCATTGGTCAAATTTCAATCTTTAATCTCAATCTTCAATGCATAGTCTGATTCCGACTTTAAAAAAAAAACTTCAGCATTTGTGCTAGATAGTACATATTGAATATCATATTGAATAAAATAAAACCTTCGTGAACATAGCTCAACCGCTTCTGAGATAAACATTTTTATATACTAGCATCATGAATGATTTACTGATTTTTACGTGTCGCATGCGATAATTACCTCAGTGTTTAAACCACACGTTTTAAATGTTCTCATTTAATTTCCATACATATTTCATAACAGAAGATTTTATCAGCAATCAATCAGTTGTCATTAGTCAGAAATTAGTAATCTACATGTCACTTAGTAATTATACAGTGTTGTAACTGATTGCCAATAAAGTCTTTTGTTATGAAATATGTATGGAAATATTTGTGCCATATAAGTGCTGAATGATTTTTTGTATACTCTGTCTAATTGTTTTATATATATATATATATATATATATATATATATGTATACAACATACTTATATACACAGTATACTTTGCACTTAATTAGATTAAAAATATTAAATATATCATAAAATGAAATTAAAAACGGTTTAGTTGTTTTTTCAAAGTAAAATTCTTTTCTTCTTAACTCTTTTAATTACAAATATATTTTATTATTCTTTGTTTTTTGTTTTATATATTTATCTAATTACATCTTTTTAAGTTGAAAAAAATATTTTTAATAAAATTATGATTTTTGTATGTTTATTATTGTTAACATACAAGATAATTAAGAACGAGTACAGAACAAACAAATTGATTAGAAGATAATTCCGAGAAAAAAATATTATATATAAACTTAGATAATACTTATATAATTACAAAAATTTTAAAATTTTCCTATTATAGTAAAAATCATATGCTTGATAAGAAGTGATTTTTAAGAAATCAAAACAAAACAAGAGAAACAGAAGAATATGTTCCAAACAACACAATTATCCAAAATTATGACATAAGACGTTTTTAAGTCGTTTTTAAAAAATATCTTATGACTTAATTTTAGATATTTTTTGTTATCTGGGATTATTTATTTACTTCTTAAACTTAAATATATGCATTGCATGAATTAAGGAATAAAGAATGATGTATACGATATAGTATATTATTCATACGAACTTTTATTTCGTATCAATAATTCTTTGAAGAAATTATCCATTGACTGATGTTTCATATTCTTTTGTTTTATTTTGATTCCTCAGAAGTCATTTCTCATTAAATGTGTGATTTTATTATATCAAAAGCTTAGAACTTTTGTAACTACATAAATATTGAAAATAGTGACATTTTTTATTCAGAATGATCTTTCGAACAATTTGTCAAAGTTTGTTATATTTGTTCTGTGTAATCATTCTGTATAAACTTTTTAATAAAGTAATTTTCACAATTATAAATTGTCAAATGAAATGAGTCATAATTTATTCAAAGGGGAGGTTAAATGTACTACTAACACTATAAAAAAGTTTGGAGATGGAAGAGTTTTATTTCTGAAATTCTGAAAAAATTGCAGTTGGGTGTCTGATATGCTGTACGATAGATATTAGAACTGTCGGTAAGTAAGAAAGCGACGTAACAAAGCAAACTGAGGTACATGGTTATATTTTTTTTTTATCTTCCAATTGATAAGAGTTTGAATCCCCGCAATGTTAAGGGGATGGAGCCTCCTGTATTACTGATAAAATTAGCGTTTTTGATGTTTTTCTTGTCGAATTTCTTCGTAGTGTTTTCACAGAATAAAAATTCCTTTTCCACGATTAAATTATGTACATACTAATGTACTTGTCGCTGATATATTTTGTGTTCAAAGCTGGAAAAAAAATAAAAAATTTCAGATTTCTTTATCCATTTTTATCTCACAAGTATGGCGACCAACATTGAAATTAAAATGGATAAAGAAATCTGTAATTTTTTTTCCAGATTTGAACATACATAAAATACACCAGTGACAAGTACATTAGCATGTGCATTTTAATCATGGAAAAAGAATTTTTATTTTATGAAAACATTACGAAGAAATTCGATAGGAACAAAAATATCAAAAACATTAGTTTTATCAGTAAAAACAGGCGGCTCCAGATTCTCTTGATGTCTTTTTTAAGTAAGATAACTATGGAGATGCGGAAGTCCATCCCGATGAACTTTACCTTGACATATAGAGGGCCTAAAAAATAATGCGAAACAATATTTTTAAAATATTCACAATATTTTTAAAATATTCATAAATATTATTAAAATAAAATAAAGAATATTTTATTTTAATAATATTTTGTAAAAAATTGATGCTACAGAAAATTGTTAAATAATCTAACTTTATTTCATATGTATACATGAGAATAGTTTTATTATTAATTAATTTAGAAAGTAGATTAGATCATTAAAAGCTAAAACCTGTGTTGAAATTGCAGTACATTAAACCAATTTATAATTCTTTTAGTTTCAGTTTAAAGATATAATATAAGAATATTTTAAATTTATTTTCTTGTTTTTTGGAATATTTCTTTGAAACACATTCTAGAAAAAAGAAAAAAATATTTTACTGGCCCTTATTAATGAGAAAAAATGCGCATTATTTTCTACAAATTGTGATTTACGTACCATTTACTGCACAAAACTTGTCAAGTAAATCAATGAGATGCTTTTTTCTTCGTCACGTCAAATAATTTAGTCTTCCAATCATTCAATACGTTCTTTTAATATTTTTATATATCGTCGATTCACAGACTATGCTTTTCATACTATCCATTCATACTCTAGCAGAATCACAGCCCACGCCGTTCTGAAACTTGTTCACCCACCTTCAATCTCCATTCGTATTTGTTGCCATCAATGTGCCGTTTCATCGAACCGTATGTGCGCCTGCGCTTATCTAAAACGCACTTTCCAATAGTTGTATTTAGAACTGTCACTGTGATTTTCCTTTACAAGACTGTAGACGAGCGAGCTGTCCAATTGAATTTGATCTATTATTGTGCTTTCCCAAATTTTGTAGGCTAAGCTGATTTTTTAATAAATGCTTTAAACGAAATTATTGTTCTATTAAAAAGTGATTAAACTTGTTAAAATTTCTGCTACACTATGTGAATAATTTGTTTTATATGAAAATATTATTACTAAATTTCCTAATAATATTTAAACAAGTGTTTCTGTTCAGTCTTTTGTATAGTGACAGTTTGTTAAGTTGAAATTAAGATTTAATTCTCACAATGATTCTAATAACAATAAACAAGTCTAATTAAGTCGAACGAATCACTTCAATGTGATAAAAAATATCTCTTACTACAGTGAATTTAATAAAACAAAATAAAATTTTTTTTGCGTGAAAACAAACACTAGTTTGGCTTATATAACCATTGATTCATATATCAGATATCGATAAGTGCAATTGTGGAGATACATGAAAGGAAATCAATGTAATGTCACTAAATTGATTTAATTCATGTGATAATTACGCATTAGAATTTTGAAAAGCCATTTACATTCGCGCGAAACGATTTGAAACAAATTTCAGTATATTACAAATGGCGATCACTTCCATAACGAACTGTCTGGGTCCTCCCCCCTTACCACCTGGAAAACGATTTCTGCAAAAGCCCTCGAAACAATTATCATCTACCTATAAGAGTTTTTGCGATCCCGCCGTAGAAATCTGGCTTCCTCCTGGTATTCCAGAAAATTTAATGGCAAAATTATATTTGCATGAAATAACCATGAGTAAGATCGGTACGAACCAAAACCTGTTTAGAAGTTGCTCCGAAGGCAATCTGCGCGCGCGTGAGACAACAGTGTTGCCAAGTACGTCCCTGAACAAATGCATCAAAGCCATTTATGGCAGTTGGAAAAATCTCTTATACCGTAAGTGTGCGGATATTTTATATTATATACATAGATGGAACCAAATCTTAAAGGATATTAAGGATATTAAGTTTTTGGCTAATATAAAGATGTTCCGAGATATACAAATTATACATATTCCATATTATAGGGTTATTTAAGCAAAATTGAGTGTATCGCTTATCTTGAGAAAACATCGAGAACATGGAAGCAATCGTGGTCCAAGATAAAAAAATCTAATGATATTACATTACATTTATTGATAAAGAATTATTAAGTAAGATATCAAGAATTAAAACAAGAACTGTTAATACGTATAATTGAGACGAAATTTACGAGCAATTATCGAGTGACGAAGAATCTATTAGAGAATAACTGTTTGGTTTCGAACCCTAATTTTAAATAACATGTTTAGCAATTTATGCTTATACGTATTTGAGTAATATAATCTTTGTTGCTTAATTCCCGTGGAATCTTATTTGATAACTTTTTATTAATGAATGTGACAGCATTGTTATTCTTGATTATGATTTCTTCCATATGTCTAGGGATCCTAAAGTAAAGCCCGAACTTCGACGAGATCGTTGTTTTATTAATAAAATGCGACACATTGATATATCTTTATATATTACTACATCAATATCTCACGCATATACGTAAATTTTCATAGAACAATAATGTTTTATTAGAGTCTAATTAATTAAGTTTAATTCTAAAAATTCCACGTTGTTTGATATATATTGTAACTCCACAGTAATCAATATTCTATCGATTAATCGATCCGTATCTGAAATCTTCACTAGCTTTCTCAGTTTCAGCTTCGAATCCACAAGGCCTATATTTAATCCTCTTCTCCGGCTAAGCTTCTTGCTTTCTGATTCGGTTTGCTGCAGCTGCTTCTCTGGGTGAAGGTATCATTTTTTCTCTGCAATACTGAAGAAAAGGTTTCTTTTCTTATATTCCAATTTTGATCCAATTTTGTCAGAGCAGGCCTTTGGGTATCAGCATTGCGCCATGCTTTATTCACCAATCTTGACGCTTCTGGATATGACATGGTTTCATTTGCCATCGTAAGATCTCTGCTGCTTTCTTGTTGCTGCACTATCCAATGTACTATGAGCTCCATTGTACGCATCTTTTAGTTTTTCTGCAATGTTTCTCTGCCCTTCATAATCTTATAGTTTCTGCTATAAGTTAAAGCAACAGTTAAAGTAAGTCTCGATCCTATCACACACTTTGTCGATATGGCCTAGAAGTCTACATTTAAAGCTCTATCTAACATGAGAAATGAAAAACCGATACCCGGACATCATTCTTCAAAAGAACGACTATTCAGGGATATCTTTTCCTTTAAATTCTAGACAAATATTGAGAATCCTTTTTTAATCAGTATAAAAAAAGGACGAATGGTTGTACATATCGTATCTTCTCAGGCGATGAGTCGTTCATATTCGATTTGGAATCAGAGTTCTGATTCTCTTCTTTATTATTCTTCGCCGTTTTTTTTTCTCCGTGATAGAACGCAAACCTTCCTTTCTTGTTTTTTCCAGGGGCCTTACTACTCTCTTTCTTTGCACGTATACTATCTGTTTTTACTCGATAACTCCGCCATCTTTGAATTCTTGCTTCTCGTTAATGTCCGCTCGTGTAAATTTCCGCTCGTGTCTTCGCGTGACCGTGTTCTTGCATAATCATTATCCAAGAATGTTTCTATTATCTCCTCCCAAGAAATATTGTTTGAAATATGCACTAACTCTGCATTTTCATCCGCGGATCCTTCATCCATCTTCTCGATGGATCCATCGCCTCGAAGGCGGAAAGATCCCGTCTCTTTCAGATTTTGTCGGTTGCAAAAACTAAGGCTTCATTCGGAAACATCATCCGAGTGCCTCCGTGTATCATTTCATCCTTATTATTTAACCTTATTATTCATCCAATGTTAAACAGAGAATAAGATGATACACGTGGACGCCCGGTGATGTTTCCGAAGACTAACTCAAGATCTTTAAAGAAAGCAGAAATTGCATCCTCTCAGCTGCCTTACGTCTGTCACAAACACCGGGCGCTGATCACAACGATCACGAGTATTCGCACAATTGCCACATACTATGATTCATGATGCCAAAAGTCGCGATTTTATATGAAGTTATTTGATTACAACTTATAGGAGATCCTAAAGTTGTCTGTTTTACTGATTCATTGTCAGTAGGACTTATAAACACACAACTGTATAGATATATAGACATTCTGCATATATCTCAAGACAAAAAAATCAAATATATTATATATAGCAATTATAAATGTAGAAAAACTGAAAAAATATGTAGTCTCTGAAATACCAGCAGCAATGGGTTAACTTCTTTTTTCTGTTTCTTACAGTTGGCGGTATGAGTCGGCCATCCAAAGCCGTGACTCAAGCAAAGAAAGTAGCTCCACCAGCTGTACCAGATGTGTTTCGACATTCTGGTTCCTCTTTCGGCTCGGCTGGATATGCTAGCAGCGAAGATAATTGCTTCCTCTCTGGAAGCGGCCCCGGAGGTACGACAGACGATGGTTCCTACGTGGTGCCATCTGGAAAAAGTCCAGGACCTATTTTTACACATTCGGGCTTCACCTTTCCGCCGGTGATTGGCAAGTATGCCCACGCCGAAGATCAAGGTACGAATTATATGTAAAGTTATATTATTAGATTAATTCTTTTCTAACGCGAAGAATGTAAATGTATAGGGATGGACATGATCGAGTATTTGTTTTAAAAATCAATTATAAATAGACGCGATTGTAAATCAATGCTTTTCGACTATATATAGTGCAATTAAGGTACAGATAATCTTGTCCGTTATTCCTGTCGAGCTCTTCAAACGTTAAGCTTCTGGCCTGTGTTGCACTTCTCATATGCTCTTGTGGTGCGCACACTGATTATTTAATTAACACGAGCATATGTCGATCTCAATACTAAAAAGTAACTGATTGATTGTTTAAATAATCGATTCCTAGATAGCTAAATCTATGGTGGAAGGATAATATCCTTGGAAGATATCCTTTCACCATGGCTAAATTTATCGGAAACAAATCTTATCAAGGTAAAAATTCGCTCGCATTTTATCTTTGTTTCTATTTTATCTATCTTTCTTATATGAAGATTACATATATGACAACTAATATTTCTGTAAGAGATGCTTATTAGCATAAAAAAAATTATTAAATTGTTTGTACAATTTAGTAAGTAATATTACTATTCTGAGAATTTCCTTATGCATTTTAACATTGAAAAAGGTTTTGGCATGCGATATGGCAATCAAATATAAAATTTCTCTTTTATTTAATTAAATCTATTCTCATCTATAAATTCATATTGTTTATAATACTAATTTCAAAGTACTACAAATAATATAATTGTAAAATACGAATGTTTGGATATTTCTTAGGTATTGATATGACCCAGAGTCCTGGTAGAGACAGTCCTGGTAGTTCCGGATCAGGTTCCGGTTCTAGACATTCTACGGAGCGTCTGGATATCACTTAGGACTTAGAGGGCCCGGTGCTCTTGCTTCGTCTCCTAGATGCTCTATTAGTTCACTCGGGAGTCATCCTGATCGACCGACTGATCTTGACGTCGTTCACGCTTGGTTAACTGAACTCCAATTCGAGGAATACTTTCCTTTGTTCGCTTCCGCAGGTTATGACCTTGCAACTATAACGCGTATGACACCGGAGGATCTTACGGCTATAGGTAGAGCACATATTGTAATAACGGGTCTAATCTAAGTATTGTTTATTTAGTTTATAAGTATTACTTATATAGATTAGTTACAATAGTCCTGTCCAAAACTCGACTCGTAAACCGAAACATTTCCACCGTCTCGATAGAGCGAAACAAAGCGTAAATAACAAAAGAATAGACGCCAGTGCTCCGCCTGATTCTGATTTGTCTAAACATCGTTGAAATGCAACATATTGCAGCAATATTGCTGCAAACTTCTGCTGTATAGAAGAGCATTCATATTTTTTCTATAAGTAAGAAACAAGGATGCCTGCAGAAGATTGGTATAGCATTATTATGAATGTTACCATGGGGAAAGTATTATTTCCATCATAGAGTGTCACAGGCAGAGAATGATAGGCAAAATAAAAGATGACAACTATGATTACATGATTGAGAAATGGGCTTTCTCGGTTTCATTTTTTGGCGCTTGGACAGACCTGAATTTTATCCTTTATTGACGCTCCGTCTCGCTCTATCGAGACGACTGGAGAAAGCGTTTCGGCTCACAGATCGAATTTTAACAGGTCTGATTTAAACAAATATACACTTTTTTATACATTACATTATAGGTATCAAAAAACCTAATCATAGGAAACGACTAAAAGCGGAAATAGATAATTTAAATATAGGAGATGGTTTACCAGAACATGTGCCTGGATCGCTCGAAGAATGGCTCAGGCTTCTCAGACTTGAGGAATATCTTGGTGCTCTTCATCAACAGGGTATGCGATCCGTCGAAGACGTGACAACTCTCACTTGGGAAGATCTGGAAGACATTGGTATAGTACGGTTAGGACATCAGAAAAAATTATTGTTAGCAATTAAAAGAGTTAAAGATATTCGCGCTGGCAAGCGTATACAACCACTTGATCTTGCGCGCTTGCCGCCACATCCTGGGCATACGCAGGTAAATTATAAATTCTCTATTTTTCTCATTAGTATCGAATTTAGTTGGGAAAAAATCTCCTAATTATTTTAATCAATATATTAACAATGTCATGCAATAATAAATTACTGTATAATTTATGATTTTTTAGGACGTTGTTATTCAACGAAGTGGACCTGATTTACCATCACCTGATGAAAATTGTTCTTCGCCTGTACTTAGATCTTTTCAAAGAGGTGGAAGCGATACTACTTCTGATGTTACTTGGAAAAGTATGTATGCCGCGTTTCCAACTGATTACAATACAGTTGGCCGTACTAGCTGCCGAGGAAAATCTTTGGAAAGTCTAGAGGATGCGCCTCTTGGTTATCCTCCATCACCAGCTCCAACATCGCATCCACAATCCCTCGATTGGCGTCCACGCAGTTTTGAAGATGGTGATCTTACACCCACGAATGATTCCGTTGTAGATGCTGGTGGGGGCACTCTTCCACGACCAAGACATTGTCTCGTTCGTCCACGACCTGTAGCCAAGGTATGTTCGATTGTCTCAAATGTATGGATATGTTTGAAGCAAAAATAGATGGACGAGAAAAATTTATGTGCTGATTTGATGATTTTAATCCAATTTACATCATGTTAATAATGTACCTGTGTTTATTATATACGGTACATACTTTTATATATTACACTTTACTAACTCCTCACATTTCCTTACGTAAAAATAATGCTTGTGTGAATTAAGCAGGGAGCAACAAACTCTTGCATAACATAAGGCATAAGAAATTCAACTAATCAGAGTTCTTTATTTCATGAAAAGGAAGGAAACAAAAGATTTTAATTGGTATATTTTCTTATGCATTACATGTTATCCACACGAAACGAGTATCACTCCTCCCCTTCCTACTTAGGGATGTAAAGCGAGTTCCACTTCATCTTCTTCTCTGCTTAGGAGTCTTACGTTAACGGAATATGGAATAATTTTTATATTAAACAGAGTTTATATAAAATATTGTAACAGTCCAAATATAACGGTGCTGGAAGTGACGGATATTGGAACGGTCCAAATATGGCGATGCTGGAAGTGATGGTGGGGATTCGAACTTTAGTGAGAGTTTGATGTTTCTTTTATATACAAGATTTTATAATAGATCGTCCATGAAATCCTCCGTGTATTATCATGTCACGCGTTTCGCGCATAAGTAATTGATCTAATTCAAAGATGGGCGAGGTCCAGACCATCTCCCTCCCTGTCTAGGATTGTCCGACTTTCCACGCGAAACGAGGTTCATATTATCTCTCCCGTATCTCCTTTCTCTCGTTTTATAGGGTAGACCTCGCTTCGCGTGAAGTCATTACGCAAGGATGAAGGTTTGGAATAGTTAGGATAGTTCTTAATATTGCATGTAACAGAAAATGATATATTTTAAATTTTTTTTGTTAATAACTTTTATTATTAACAAAAATAACGAGCGATTGCTAAAACCTATTAGAGGTCACTTAAAATAATGATCTTGATAACATATGTCAAGGTCATTGAATTTTGAAAAAGCTGACTTTATGTAAATATTTGCTTTCGTTTGAAATGCTTTTAATTTTTCAATAAATAAATTAAACAATTAATCAGAAGATTATGCATATTTTAAGAAAAATAATCACTAAATGTGTCTGTAAATATAGAATAACAATGTATAATCTATGATATTCTTGAAGCTCTAGCCATATATTTGTAATCAATTTGCAGTATAACTGGTTAAAAAACATAAAGCAATCAATTGGTTTAATGAAATCTCGCAATATGTTTGAGAAAGAATCGGCCAAAGTTTACGTGGCTTGTTTTAGACATAGTTTTAATTTTTGTCGTTATATATGTATATAATTTCAGGTCACTGCAACACCAGGTCAATATAAATCCTTGCCGAGAGACTTGAATAACAAGTATCAATTAACATATGGACTCGAAAGTAGTCCACATCTTCCAAAACGATGTCCTCCATCACCTCCAAGGCGACAAAGCTCTAGAGATACAACTAGTTCTTCCGTAATCGCTGTTGGTGGCTCGGTGATCGGTGACGTCGTAATAGACTGCAGCGGACCGGTGCCAACCGCTTCATGTGACGATCATCTTATTCATCATCATCAACATTTGCTTCATCATCCATCGCCGCCACCACCAGCGCCTACGCCGGTGCCTACGTCAGCATCTTCCACACCACCGCAATTAAATCGACCATCTTCTTCCATGTCACGTTCTTGGGGTAGCGTTAGCGTTAACATTAACGAAGAACACGAGTTAATTGCATCTCTCGCTCTGCAACATCGCAACGGATCAGATGCTAGTTTTAAAGTACGTTAATTTTGAAAGTTTTTGCCATATCTATTTAATTTTTTTGCGCTTTTTAATATATTTATTTTATATATTTATTTTATATATATATATATATATATATATTATAAATATGTGTACACTAAAAAAATTCCTAAATAATATTTTCTTAAATAGTATTAAGTAAATATTTTTCTATTGCAAATAAATATTTTTATTAAAAAAGAAATTAAATCAAATAATATATGTTTACCTTTTCAGTAAATACTTATTTACAATAAGGAAATGTTTACTTAGTACTTTCAAGAAAATATTGTAAGAAATTTATCTTTATTAGCTATCGCTAGTTAACGATAATGACAATTGTCGATAAAACATTTAGAGAATCCCGCAATATTTAAATTTTTATAGGCTTAATTCAGTTCTTTTCGATTCCTTAATGTATTAGTACATTTGTTTTATTTTTATATTTACAGTCAAGTTCCAGTACAGAATCAGATTCGTTGCCGTTTGCCAATGAGAATGCCGGTACGATAAAACAAAGGGCCAACCGAGCACAAGAATATATAACGGGTGGTCCTAATAGTAGTATAAGTGGTCATATAGTCAATCATCATTCCAATGGCGGAGAACCTGCGGATGTTTTGAACGACATTGGGAATATGCTTGCCAATCTTACAGATGAGCTCGATGCAATGCTCGAAGAAGAGAAACGCCAAGGCCTGAACTCATAATCATCACTGCCTTCGTTTGCACTTTTCTATCTAACTAAAGTTGCCATAGAAATGCAGGCTTTGATACATGAAATAAATAAACTTGATTAGTGCAACGTGTACACAATTAGATACAAGTGAATACAATTCATGACGAAATAAATTGATAGAATCGTGTTGAGAATCGAATTCTAAGATCCACAAAGATGCAAATATTTACCAATATAAATCTATGTCTTCGTTGCGAAAAGAACAGAATCTTTTATTCCAAAAAGAAAATAAATTACGTCATTCGAAATCGATGAAACTATTGTTTCATATTGTACAGATTAATGAATATCCAAAATACATCTATTTTCGCGTGATTTATGTTTTGTTTTGATTTTTTTTTTTTTTCGATTCTTTATTGGGACAAAAATACTTTATACTTTTGCATAGAAACATCTTGAATGTGCCAGCAAATTTCCAAACGCAGTTGTGGTATTACATCTATACTGGTATTGCACAATTTTTTTCTACTTCTTTTTGGAGTAATAATCATATTCCTTTTTATTAGTCTTTTTTTACAATGGACAATATTACAAATGAGTGATAATACAATACGTGTTGCTCTATTCTATATAAATTAGGGCAATCCAAAGTATTCAAACAAATATGAAATACTGACGTAGCAAGGAGAGGGGGAAGGGAAAAAAATATTAACAAATATAAATATATTTGTATAATTATAATTTGTACTACAGATCGTATTGCAAACAATTCGAAAAGAACACATGTGTTTTCTGTATAAAATCTTTTTATATCTGTAACAAATTTGTAATTAATCAAATCTAACTCCTTTTCTCTATAAAATTTGATTTTCGTTAATATACGTACATTCCAATTGATTTTTCCATTTCCGTCCTTCCTTAAATTGATAATATGATAGAAATCGAAAATTTTCTCATAGTTGACTTTGTAAAAGAGCAAGAGGCAAGGAAAGATAGTTGTGTTCACCCAAATAAAGCAGTCCCGAATGTTAGAGACATATTCATAGAAAAATTGTTACAATGATAAAGAATAAAGAATTAACAGCTGCATCTTGTATGAATTTATAAGCTTTTGTATGATTTTTTAGAAAGTCACAGGATATAATTCGTTAACAAGAGTTTTATAAGAAATGTTATCAATCGTACTTAGACTTTCAAGGTAATATGGTTTAGTACAGAAATATAAGTAGTGTATGCTAATTAACACTTTGTATTGTTATCTGTACTAATTAATTTAGAAATATAACTTACTATTATTATATGACACACTTAGATAGTGAAGCAGTGGAAAGTATTCATATGTATTAAATCAAAGTAGCTGTGGAGACACTTTTGAGATAAGACTCGAAATGATCTTCCGAAAATGTATGTTACTAGTATGTTCTGCGATCTGGATGTATTTTGCAAGAAATTTCTTTTACAATGTACTATTTATATGAGGGTTAACCAGAAAATAAGTTCCGATGGCCTATTAAAAGAAAACAAGTCTATACTTACAGAAAATTTTTTATTGCTTTTTAAAGTACACACCTTACTATTCCGCTACATAATTACCATTGTTGTTGATGACTTATTATAGCGGGGTACCAGGCGTTGTATCCTTGCATAAAAAATTACCGCCTATGAAATTTCTGGAAAATACAGGGAAAAAGATTTAATGATAAATCGTCTGTTCTCTTTAATTTTCTTTTCAACTACATGCATCAATTCAATGCATCAATGCATTCGTCATTGATTATGTTTAGACGACACATTTATGCTCATTTCTACCAATGCAGTTTAACTTTAATTTCGGTTCAACTAACTTTTCATTTTTTTCTAGTTTTAAGAATAAGAACATCCATTATAAAACTGACCAATCACAGTCATTTCATTCTTTAGAGGAATATTTATAATTGGCCAATTTCATAACATCGATGTTATAACTTCGACGTAAATCGAAATCATTAATCACAAACGTGGTCAGTTTCGTTCATCGTGTACATTTTTGCGTTTTTCATTGAAAACTCACACCTATCTCTATAATATTCACACAGCAAAACTTGATCCTACAGATGTATGTCGAGGGATTTTCTAACATCCAGAGTACCTGAAGAAATTTAAGGATAAATTGAGAATTTATATGTCTTATTCTACATCTATAGGACATCATCGTTTAGATATCATTAGGATGTTTCTGGATGACCAAATTGCATCCTGTCTTTATCTAGTGGACATCCTAAAATGTCTTTCAAATTAAATCTTTTTAAGTTAAACCCTTGTAGAAAACAGACGTCGTAGCAACAGACGCGATTTGTTTAAACATTAGATCTGTTTGTGTTGCTTGAAATTGCTTGAATTTCCAAAAATTGTTACACTTAAAACAAGATAAATATATATTCGGATATTGAAAAAAGAGAATATATAGATGCTGAATACAAAAAGTAACACTAATAAAACTGTTATACATACGCACTATAATGCGTATACACTGAACCAATAATTGAAAATCGCGTCAATCACTCAATCCTTTGTTAAACTCGGCACGCATGCGCACCATTGTAAATACGCCGCTGCGGCGGCAAAATTTAAAAACGGAACTTACTTTCTGGTACCTCGTCATCGACGAGATATTATTGGATCATATCATTCAAAAATTGAACAAAAAACCGCGGATACTTTTTAAATGACCTAATATTAAAGGTCAACTCTTACGGAAGTTCGCATGATTGTTAAAATTTAAATGCTTAAGGAATAAGAAATTGATAATACAATACTAATTTCATGATTTTATTAGTTTCATAGACATATATTTAAAATTTAATAACTCGATTTTTATTTAAAACAATTTTAATATTATCATCCGAGTTTGATTATCTAAAGCCGGTTCTACATTATGAAGCATTGATTTCAAAATGCAAGCTTCAGATTGGCTGTCGCAACAAACTTACGATCAGCTTGCAACTAATGTAGAACCGGCTTAATAAAGATGATAGCTGCAAAAGAAAAAAAATTATAATTTTTCGATAATGTATAAAATATTATAGCATTAAAACTATGCGTACTTATTTATACAGCATTTATATGATAAAAAAATCATGAATTTAATAATAAATTATCGAAATATTTATATTAATATAATCGTAAATTTTTATTAATTGTTGGTAATGTCATCGTTCTTCAATTATCCCCGGTTCTATTGAAGTTATGAAAATTTGCTCAGAGCTGATGGTCTCTCTTTAAGAGGCTCCGCACAATAAGAAGAAATCATGTGAAATCATGTGAAATCATCATTGTGAAATACACAGTTTCTGATAGGTTGAAATTCTTGTTTTCTGTTTCCTGTTCCTTTAATTTATTGTGCGAAGTAATAGTATCTCGTTGGTGCTTGTACTGAAGCTGCTCCTTCTTCGATTAGAGAATAAACGGCGGACCAATTAAAACATTCCAAAATCAGATTTCTGATAATTTGTTATTAAAAGGTCTTCAAAATCTATTTTACCTCGATCAAATTCGGTCGTCACTCCAGCATCTCCTTATTATGATAAAATTACAGTCTGGTGCGTTAAATGTCTTCTTTATCCTACAATTTATGTGGATGTAGCATTGACACGTAGTACGTCCACTTTCGATACTACGATTTTATCGGCGTGTCACAAAAATGGACGTAATATATACGTAGTTTCTGTATCTCTAAAATGGATGATGGTGCGCTAGTGTAGCAGAGGATTAGAAGCTTTGCATCGTTACATGCAGTTACATGAGAAAGATAGGCATGCACGTTCTTATATTTCTATCTTATCTCTCTGTTAAAGCTTTCTCGTTGTTGCCAAACTTCAAATGTATATTTATTTCATTTTAAGTATGAAGAGTGTACATACAATAAATTCTATTACAAAAACATATTTATAATTAAAAAAGAAAAGTACTGAAAGTTAAGTTACAAAGAAGTTCTTTTGTTTTATTTACTAAGGGTGCCAAAGTAAATTATATACTCTTAATGTATATGTCATTATCACATACATATAAACAGAAAATAGCCATATAATAAGTGGTGTATCATCACTGTCTGCCATTGTTTCTCATAAACAATGGCGTGGTCAAATTTTCAATGTACTTTAGCAATACTTCAAATAATTACAGGTTCATTTAATACTTTATCAGTTAAGTAAGTATTATATTTTTAAACTATGTACATACACACAATATAAAGAATAAAATTATATTGCAAAAGAAAATGCATAATTAATTTTATAGATATTATAATTAACTTTAAATTAAAATTTATTTAGATATGCAGATCAACAAGTTGTACTTGGTGAAGATGGACAACTTAGATATTTTAATCATCCTTTTATGCAATCATCATTTATGTTTCTTGGAGAAGCTCTTTGTTTTTTAGCGTTTAAAGTCTTTTACTACTATTATAATCGGCGAGGTGTAAGTATTTATGATTTTTGTTCTCTGTAAAATAAATAAATTTATTATTATGTTAATTTATTCTCAGGATGGCTCTGTAGATAATAACGTACTCACCAAAGGTTCAAGGATTTTTAATCCTTTTATTTTAATAGTACCTGCATTATGTGATATGTTTGCAACATCCATAATGTACGTTGGTTTGAACTTGACTTATGCAAGTAGCTTCCAAATGTTGCGTGGATCAGTAATTGTTTTCACAGGAATGCTTTCTATTGGATTTCTTAATAGAAAATTGGGAGTAAGAGAATGGATAGGCATTGGTTTTGTTGTAATAGGTTTAGTATTTGTTGGTATTAGCGATATATTAGTAATGGAAAACAATGATGTCAGTGCAAATTCTGTAATCACTGGGGATTTGCTTATTATATTTGCCCAGGTACATCTTTATTATTGATTTTTTTATATTATAAGTATAAAATTTAGTAATTATAAATTTAATAAAGTAAAAAACTTAATCTCAAAAATTGAAATCATAAAAATAGTGCTGTGAGTCAAGCAACATCTTGAAGCTGAATTATTAAGCAAACAAAAGTTATTTATTCTAACGTTTTGACCACAATTAGGTCTAATTCTAAATGTTAACACATTTATAATTAAAGAATTGGAAAGGATACAGACAGTAGTTTATAATTAAACATTCAACCAATGTATAATATTTGCCATTACTATGATTAGATTGTTAAAACAATAAAATTCAGACAAAAAACCATCTTAAATTATTCTTATATTCTCAGTAATTAACAGATGTCTTAAACAGTCAATTGAAAGCTGCCATGAATTAATGCATAGGTCAGAATCGTCGAATTTAATTCTTTCATTTCTTGACGTTATCTTTTGTTCTAAAATTCCGATCTAAGTATTAATTCATGGCAGCTTCCGATTGACTCTTTAAAATATCCGTTAATCGTTGAAAATATGAAAGCAAATAATTTAAGATGTTTTTTTCGTCTGAATTTTATTATTTTAGTAATCTTATTATAGTGATGGTAATTATTATATACTGATTGAGATCAAAACATATGTTAGAATAAACTTTTGTTTGTTATTTAATAATTTAACATCAAGATCATCCTTGTTCTTCACTTGTCCCTATTCTTATTATTTTAGTAATTTTATTTATGATTTCATAACACTTGTTTAAGCGAAATATCTAATTATACAGAGATAAATATTTACTTTCATAAAATTATTTTCAAATTTCAAATATTCTAGATAATAACAGCTGTGCAAATGGTTGTTGAAGAAAAATATGTGGGACAGCAAGATATTCCTGCATTACAAGCAATTGGATGGGAAGGTCAGTATAATTTTTACATTTTTTATATAAACTTTGTTGATATTGATATATTTCAACAATATCTTAAATATGTTGATTAATAATTTTTATTTCTTGCATCTATTTTTACAGGTATCTTTGGATTTATTGGTATTTCTCTAATAATAATCCCTTTCAATTATATTACCGCGCCACCTCCTTTTGCGGATAATTCACGCGGCACACTTGAAGCTACTGTAGAAGCTCTTATTGAAATAGGAAGCAATAGTAAATTATTGATAGCTGTTATCGGTTAGTCTTATTTTTTTAAATTTCTTTCGTAACTATCAATCTCCGGTCTTTATAACAAACTCATTTCGGATTGCAGGTATATCATTTAGTATTGCTTTTTTTAATTTTGCTGGTATTAGCGTTACTAAGGAAATGAGTGCTACAACAAGAATGATTTTAGACAGTGTTCGTACAATTGTGATATGGATCTTTTCTTTAGCGTTTCAGTGGCAAGTTTTTCATTATATGCAGGTATGCTTTAGAGAAGTAAAAATCATTAGTAGTATTTATATACACATAACACAAAAACATTATTGCAAAATTTTTTGTTATAGCTCATTGGTTTTATAATTCTTTTAATCGGTATGGCATGTTATAACAATATTGTTATTCCGCAATTAATTCGGAAATATCGACATTATTTGGGACACCGTACATTATCAGAAAATGAAGATTGTATTATTAATACGGCTGCAGACGACGTACAAGAAACGATATAAATATCTATATATATGATATAAATATTTTAAACTATCATTATCGCTATTAATTGTTTTGATTGAATGATTATTATTTCAAGTAAAATAACTATAACAGGATCTGTCTTATAACCCAAAGTAATTACAAAACGGAGGACATGCAAAATCCTGAAAAGAATGTCCCGAAAATTGAAAACTATGACAATGTCCTGAAAAATCACAGTCGAATTTTAAGAACTGTGATAATGTCTTGAAAAATCATAATCTCGATATTTTAGAAGTGTGACAAAGTCCCGAAAAGTTATAATCTCTAATTCTTAAAAACGAGACACTTGAGATAGATATCTACGTGTGTATGCGTGCGCGCGCGCGCGGGCCACGTGTATATCTATATACAGGGTGGTCCGTTTTATTCCAGTTAGTAGAATATTTCAAAATTCTGAAATTTAAGGATCAGTTGTTTCAACTATGTGATAATTTACCTATTCAATCTACTGAATAAACAAAAGAGTAAAAAAATAAGAAGTAAGAGAGAATAAGAGAGTAAGAGAGAGTTCAAGCTGTAGCTGAAAAGAGAGTTCACTGAAAGATGGAACAATCTAAGACAAAAATGTTTCAGACAAAAGTTATTCAGTTATAAGGAGGAGAAAAAAAGATTAACTTAAGAATGAGATATTCTAGTGAATGAATTAAAATGGACTACCCTGTATGATAAATTCCTGATAGATAACAATTAAGGTATACGTTAATATATTGTATATTAACGTTAACGTTGTTATATATTATACATTCACAGAATATTTAAAGAATATTAATTAGTGAATGGAATAAAATATTATGAAACGCATAACTCTTTAATTCTAAAAATTTACTGAAGCAAAAGACATTTTAGTATTATACATGTATACTTTTTGAACAATTTCAAAATTGATTATTATGTACTGTTCGTGGACGCAATTATAGTATTAAATCATGAAATATATATTCTAATATTAGTTTATAATTATATATTTACTTCTTTATTCCATATATGGATAACTTTGTTAATAATCTTTGTAAAAGATATAATAGAAACAGAATTTCTCTATTTTTAATAATTGTTACATCTTTTTTATATGGATTAAAAAAAAAGACTTAAAAAAGGAGGCAAATGAGAATAAATTATAATAAATAAAAACGAATTATATAAATTAGTAATCGTGCATATTCCGACTAATTTTTTAGCCATCATCAGCAGTAGCTACAAACGATTCACGGTTATCTACTTGTATAAATCCATAAATTTTTAACCGGAGCTCTTTATGAGGTTGTCAATCACTCTCCCATAGGAATAAAAAATCTCATGCCAGTTAGAAAATTGGATGGTCGAATGAATATCTTATATACATATCAAACGTTAAATTGTGTGAATCAAACGTTAAAAAGTTCGTAGTCACGAGGAACTAACTCATCTCATCCGAAACAAAACTGATGTACAATGATTGCATATATTTTTACCGCACATTTGCGGAAAGTCATGCGCCCCAGGGCAGAAGAGAGATGGGGTGGAACTTGCTTCGCGTGGAAAGTCTACGCCTCATGGCAGGATTGGAGGTGGGGTGGAAATCGTTTCGCGTGGAAAGTCATACGCCCCGAAGCAGTGGGAGAGGTGGGATTTAAGTTGCTTGGAAAGTCGTAAGCCCCGTGGCAGGGGGGAAACTGGAATGGAACTCGTTTCGCGTGGAAAGTCGTATGCCTCTAGACAGGGGAGGAAGTAGGATGGACCTTCCTTCGTGTGGAAAATTGCATACCCGTATGGTATTGCAGAAATAAGACATTTGTTAAACTTTATCTGTTAATAACTTTTGAACGAACACAGTGATCGCTGTCTAAAACTTTTTGAAGATCACTTATTGAAGATCCCCTACAGCACAAAAGTTGCAGTAACAATGCAGCAATTATATTATTGCAGCAATTATATTATTGCAGCAATTATATTATTATTGCAGCGTTATTGCAACGATATTGCTGCATTCTGTGCTGTATGAGGTCATGACCTTGACAACATATATCAATGTCGAGGTCATTGGCGCAGTGTCCATTAATCCGAATAATTACCGTAAATTTTTGTATTATTTTAAAGTAAAGAAACTAAATATAATGTTATTAGATTATTATGATTACTATTACGATAGTAATAATACGATAAAAATTAATGTGATAACTAATAATTTACTTCTAAATGCGAAGTGGTTTCTTCGCTACTTATGGAGATTTATTATTTTATAAACGCAACTCTACGATTTTTCATAGATATATATTTTAACCAGAAAAACTAACAGAAGAGTTACAAAGATAGCGATTCATGGATATCGCAAATCAGCTGGCGCTAACTTTTCAATCTCGGTCGAATAATTCAGCGGAAAGCCCCGTGGTTACTCGGTGGTGACGATCTGGCCTCTTATTGGCTCATAGGCTTTCGCGTAAACCGTCTCTCTTCTCTGTTCCCTCTTCTCCATCACGTTTCTACTCACCCTCGTGATGCATCACCCACCAATCCTCTAGCCCTCGCTGCCTCCGTCGTCACCGTCGCTACCCTTCTCGCGCACTTAGCCCCGTGGTTAACTTCAATGAGCGGATAACAAGCCACCCTTCGACTGCGCCCCTGTAATATTCACTTGTATAAATGGACTCGTGGCTTTGTCAAATCAACTGTCGCTAGTAAACAAGCCACCCTCTCCCAACTTCGGCGCACTGATACACTGACTCCACAGGATATGCTCTCCTCGCGCGCCATTGCCTCGGGCTTTCAACCACAAGATCTTTCTCCCAGATAGCGTTAGTTTTAATTCGTAATGTCGATCCTTCGACGAAATCAAACTTTAGAATCATGATAAAAGTGACTTCCAGATATTCTCACAATCAAATATCTTATTATAAGGCGCGATAGCATATTTTCTAATATTCAGAGTGTCTGATAATTGTTCTGACAGAGTTCATGAACGTGTAGAGCGGACTAAACTGAGATGAAAAGTCCTTTACTATTTTGTAATTTTTGCAACAGTTAACAAGATATTAATTGCTAAAAATTATCGAAAATTGGTCTTCAATAATTTTTTACTCAAATACCATAAGAGACGAAAATTGTTTATTTTCTTCTCATAGAACTACGAATTTTTTCAGAATTTTTTATCAACTTTTTACTGCATTTTCTCATTTTTAATAACATGAGAAAATACGATATTAAAAAATTCTGAAAAAATTCTGAAAAAATTCTTAGAGCTCTATGAAAAGAAAATAAACAATTGTCGTCTCTTACAGTTTTTCTGTAAAGTTATTAGTATTTGTATTTGAGGTAGATAGTATTTGAGAAAAAAATTATTGAAGACCAATTTTCAGCAATTTTTAGCAATTAATATCTTGTTAATTGTTACAAAAAATTGTTACAAAATGGTAGAGGATTTTCCAGTCTCAGTTTAGTCCGTTCACGAAAATTCTGCCAGAACAATTATCAGACACTTTGTATATTGATAATATATTGTGTTTAATAAAAATAGACTAAATATAAGAAAGAGAGATGTATTATCTTCGAAGAGAAATATTTCTCAAATTACTGTTTTTATTTCTACTTTATTTATATTATACACTGAGAGGAGAATTTTGTTAGAAATTGTGAAATTGTTTCATGTACCTCATATTTATACTAAATATTTTGTTCAATACTCCCACGACTAAACATTTCTACAATAATACAAAATAATTTATTACTATTGTAAACAAATTATTATATTAGGTGTTGGAATTAATTCGTAGCGTTTTACAAGTGATGGGAAGTACTTTCATTAATGTATTTTTTAATGCTCATGTGAAATAAATAACATTCTTTCATTAAAAAACGCTACGAATTAATTCCAACACCTAATATTTAAACTAACAGAGTTGAGAGTTTAGTGAAAACACATACAGATACTGTAATACAATATTTTTTTTTATATACGAACTTGTTCGTATTAAATGCAAATTTCTTTATTTCATATAAATGTTGATTCTAATCAACAAAATCACTAATTTAAATCAATTATTCAAACGAAAAATTATAATATTTAAAACAGCAATATGTATAGTTCGATGCAAATTCAATTCTATTTTATTAAAATGCAGTTAAAACTTAGATATATTTACGAAAATATAAAGCAAAACGATTTTTTCCTGGAACAAAATATATAAAGTTTGTATCGAAAGATAAAATGGAAATAATAAGACATATATTTGATACAAATAAAAACTTTGTTGAATGACTTTAATAATGACATATTCAAAAAGACCACAAAGCGAAATTCGTATTGTGGTTCTTTTGACAATCGATCAATATGCATTCCGACTGAGTTAAAATGCCACATGTTCTGATAGTTTATTGTGAATAAATGAATGTGTAAATGAATCAGCTTTTGATTATTAAGAGCTTTTAAATTATCAATAAAACGATTTACGATAATTATACAGTTTCGCCTATACAGCTCAAAAATTAATAAAATTAGGCTTATTCAACGCGTTTTTGCATGAAACAAAAAAAATGTCGCCCTACTCCGCACAGTGCACGGAAATGGAGGTGGGAGAGTAAAACTTAAAAAATTGGCGACCTCACTGATTTCAATGACCTTGATATATATTGTCATTTTTTTTCTTGTAGCAATAGTATAATTACTCTTATTTTTTGAAATATAGAATTAAATGAAATTTAGAATAAAAACTGCTTTTGTTGTGTTTTATCCATAAAATAATGCGTTACTGCCAATCTTGGAACGTGTGACAATCAATCCTAAGTACGAAGCTAATTGTTATATTTCCTCAGCTTTATTTGAAATTATATTGAAATAACTTTTTTTGTACGATATATGATGTATTTAAAAATGATATTTTTTTAACATCCAAAGGATGAAGAAGTACATTATGACGTATACATTATTTCAAAATCTTACTTCCACTTTTTTCCAAAAGTCATTACTCAAAAATTCTGACAAGCGGTCCTAGTCTCCCCTATTTCTTTACAGGATTCTATATCATCCGATAGTCTAAGCATCACCGTAACATAAACGAGCCAATCAAGAACCTTTGTGATGGCAATCGTTTCTTTGATTATTCAGCACTTTGCGCGAAAACAGGAACGATAAATAATCAGTTAACATAATAGTGCATTCAGCAATGTTTCATTTCTCGGTATCAAGAAAATATATTATAGAAATATAAATAGATCTCTATCCAATAATCATTTGACTTCTTTTTTTCATATTGTATGAAAAAAGCAAGACATATTTTCAAGAATGCAAAAGAAAAACTATAATTAATACATTTAATAGAACCTTACCTTTAAAATTCAACGAAATGTAAATTTATGTAATCTCGATGCGCAGCGTTAGTCAATTTTTCTTTTGACACGAACGAAATTGAGGATCGCATGTTAATTATATTCAAATGCCGGAATAGAGTTCTCTTTACGGAGGAAGTTGCCGTTCAGCTGCGAAAATCGCGTTTTCGTTATGGAAACGCGCTCACCGAATTCAAAAGTGGTCATGGGGCTAGAGTATGGGTTCTACGAGGCATTGAAGAGTCTGCAGTTGTAAGAGGTGAACAA